GCTGATTGCATGCTATTTGCAGTGTGGGGTAGGAGGAACTGAACTACTCATAACTCCTTTGTCTCCCATCAACCACCAATTACCCTTCAATAGTATTTTATTCTCCACACAGCAGACATCCCTATCTTTGAGGAGGATGGGAGAAAACATTCTGAAACTGTACAAAGTAGGTCCAGAGAAAGAAAAGGATGAGCGATAATTCAACTTTCCTTATTGAGGCTTATGACATGACAAAAAACACTGTTAATTTAAAAAGGCTGATTAAATTGGCTCAGTTTACTTTCTGCAAGCCGGGATATGCTTGACATTATGTCTTCCTCTATAACTAAACTGAAGACACTGCGGGCAATTGTAAAATGGTCTCCATATGTTTCCTGTAAAGAATTTTTTTTTTTTCAAGTAAAGTTATCCCACAGTTAGAAGCTTTATTTTCACTTACATAAAAAGCACAGAATTATTTTAGAGTCAGAAAAGCCACTGGCAACCTTCATGATAACTCATCCCTCTGGTCAGCAAACCAAGGAATTTCCCCTTGTTATCTAGACATAATGAATGGATGGAAGAATCTGGTTATCTAGTCAGTGAACCTCATCACACTAGCGGTGTCTCTGGTAACTTGTTTCTCACCTCAACTCCTCAAACCTCAATCAATGTTTTAGTCAGGCATCTTTCTGTGGTGCTGATAAAACCATACTGTTGACAATACCCAAAGGCCCCACTAACCTCAAGGCTCCAACTCATTTGCATCTCATGGATACACTCAGAACAAAACTGACCAAGAAGAGCTGGGTGAGTCCAATAGGAGGCCAGATAGGGCCTGGAAGAAGAAAAGCAATCTGGCCTGGAAGAAGAAAAGCAGCCCTGGGCAAGGTGGCTCCAGCTTTCCATTGGGGTCCTCAGGTGAGTGCCCACTAGAATTCTCCACAGCTGACCTGGGGGAGAGGTTCCAAATTATCGGGGGGCGGGGGGTCTGATATTCACAGGAGGGAGCACAATCAGGGCCAACTCCTCCATGGATTATTCCCCATCCAGGAACTTCAGGGAAACCCATTCAGTTAGGCAAGGCTCTGGGGGTGGGGGCTTTCCCTGGGAGGGACCAATAGGACAAAGTGAGAGAAAGATGAAAGAAAATGAGAAAGTCAGGGGTGAAATGTCTCTGTCCCTTCTCTACAACTACCTTGATTGAAGGCTAGACCCTTAAATGGAGAGCTCCAAAGCAAGAAGCGGCATCAAGGCAAGTCTCTTCCCTTCCAGGGGCCATGGACCTACACCAGAGGACTCTACCCACACCTAGTATTCGGCTGCCTTCCAGACAGGGTGGATGTCCCTCCTTTTCTCTCCTCCTCTCTCCTCAGAGAGCTCTCTCCTGGAGCAACTTCAGAGTTTAACAGAGATGAATTATCTTGACAGAGTGGTCCTGGGTAGCCAAGGACTCATTTTCTGCATTTCTCTTTCAGTATCAAAGTGGCAAAACCACCAGAAGTATGACCCAGAGTAGGTAAGAACGGGTGATAAATACCAGACGGCCATATTGGATTGAATAGAGCGTTCCTTATAAGGTTAGAGATTTCACAATTTTGTATGCAAATCCTGTTGCTCCTATAGCAGCTCAACCAACTAAATACAGACAAGAAGTTAGTCAGTCTCTGAGTCTCTGTCTCACTGGGAAAATTAATTTTTTCTTTGGCAGATGGTTGAGTCACAAAGACAGAAGGAATTCATAAAATGCACATGAACATCCTGTAAACATTTAAACACATAAAGATTAAATAAGACAACCATGACCTTGATTAAACTATTTTTCACATCTACAACCCTAAGCCCTGCAATTGGAGGCTCTTTCTTCCCAACCTTTTGGCATGCTTAGTTCTCACTGGGCATGTCATGTGTACTTCTAAGTACAAACTGTTTGATTAATTTGTTTTACAATGGGAAATATAAAGCATCTGAAGAAAGCAGCAACTTAGAACACAGAGACACAAAAATCTTACCAGTTCTCTATTACACTCTTTTCCTGTACAACACAGGAGAGAAGTCTGCATAAAATCAATAGGCAGCATTGACTTAAAACCTTTTGGCGCACCTCCTGTTTCGGCCTCTCCCTCCATCCCAACTAACTGTTTCATCCCCACCAGAGATGTTTCTCCTTCCTCCCAGGCCCACGACTAAGTTCTGCTATGACTGAAAGTTCTGACAGGAAGAGGCTCAATGGCTTATTCAAGCTCACCAGTGAACTGATGGGGCTTGAGCCATGATGGTCCCTGCTGTTAACAGCGTGGAGCTTCCTCTCCAGACTGTACAGGCCAAGATCAAAGTCATGTCCCTCCCCAATCCACACCACAACCAGCTTGTGGGATTAGCACTCCCCGACATACACACACAAAAGTGAAATTTTATGGACCCAATCTGCCTGCCACCAGGCTCAGTACCATAATCTCACCAGCAGCTTAAAGCCACGCTTCTCATGGCCAGAACACTGCGGGACTCCTGACAGGGAGAGGTGATGTGTAGCTTTACACCTCTGGAGGTGGAGGAATATACATGTCAGCCCTCCTGCACTCGTTAGACTGTTCGAGAAACTGAGGCTTTGAAGATTTTCTCACTAGTATGTGTTACCTGGTGTAAATTTGCCCTTTCTTACAAATGCTTTTTATTGCTCTTGGCTAAAAATACTGGACAGAGACAGAGACCTGCAGGCAGCTTTGCAGAACTTGAACTTGATGTACATGAAGCTGACAGTTCCTTGAAGGCCCTGTCAACCATCCGTCCAGTAAATACTGCCACTACTGGGAATAAAAACAGACCCCAAACCACAAGCACAAATGGAGGCTCTCTGCACCTGTCTTGAAGCAATTAATGACATTATCACTATACAATGCCATCTCCTTTTGAAGTTGTTTTCCTGATATTTAACAGTTTGAATACTAATCCCCTTAACAAAACTGTCCCCATGCTTCTACACCCCCTTCCCAGCCCCTCCTAATCTCTTCCTTGGGAGGAAGGAGGGCGGGTGTGGATACCAGTCAGCCTACTTCGCAGCACCTGGATTTGCATTGATTCCGTCTCTTGTCATTCATGTTACCAACAGGAATTAGCATAAGGCATTAAGGGGAAACTCTGGAGGAGAAAAGAAAGGCCATTTTGATGGAAATAAGGGGCAAAGGAATAATCTGCCATCAACTAAAATGCTTATTTGTGTATGGTTTCCCAAGCAAAGCTTAGAAAAGCCTATGTTGATTTTAGTGTACACAAAGAAACCTTAATCCTTTCAAGGCAACTAAATCACCCCTAGAAAAGCAGCTCCGAAGAAAAGCACGCTGTCAGGGGGATGACTATTCACAACCAAATAGATGCCACAAATCACACTCTGTAAGTAAACACAAATAAGAATGTGGGAAACGTTTGATTGGAAAAGGGAAAGAAGGGAGGGGTGCAGGAGGGAAGAAGCAGAGGGGTGCTATTTGTCATCAATCATTCTTCATCTACCCTGAAGAGCGCCTTTCAGCCTGGTGAGGGCAGCGGTGGCCTGGACACTGGTCCCAGAAACAACTCTCTTTCTGGGGTTGATCCCAGAAAGGGGAAACACATTCCAGAGCTTTTTTTTATAGCAAACCAGCAAAAGAAAGACAAGCCAGGAGAGGCTGGAGGTCCTGGGGAGGGGGCGGGGCCAGCTGTCACCAAAACACAGAAGACCTCCGTTGGGTGACCCATTCCTACCCCAGTGTCCTCTGCCTCTTCCCCCCTTTTCTCACCGGAAAGCACCTCTGTTTATCAATTCTCTTCCTCATCAAAACAAGCAATAAACAATTATGCATTTGTACATATGAGTGCTGCGTGCTATGAAATGCACATCTCTCCTTTTATGGGGCTTTTAGCATTATGGCTAAAAAATTTATATAAACTTGTAGTCCATCAAAAAATATGATGAAATATAAAACTGGAACACTCCATTATGCAATAAAAAAGATAAAATTCAGTATGACAATAATTCTAGGAGTAACAGCAATCACATAAGCATATATACCTCAAGGGAACTCTAAACATAATGTACACTTTAAAATTGCAGTTGGTTCAAATTCTAAACTAGAAGCTCAAAATAACTGCACATGGAAATGTGTCTTATTAACCAGCCAGCAAAATACAAGCCAAGGCAACCACAAAATACCGAGTTGATTCAACTGAAGGTGGCTTCTCTAGAACACCAAATGAAATTACCACACAAAGCTCACCTTCTTCATTTAGTAATTATGCAGGCACCTAAATCAGGTTCTGTAGTGGAGAGGAACAGATCAAAGTTTATATAATTTATACCTCTCAAATTACACACCTTTGCAAAAGCCACTGATTAGAGACACCCTTAAATTTCATTATTTTCAACAACGCTGCTAGAAATGAACACTGTCCAGAAACCGATTGGCAATGATTTAAGATAAGTTTTCCCTTAATGAACTGCTCTATCATTAGCCTCTCTTACTTTTTATTGCAGTTTGGAACAAATTAATGGGATAGTACATATTTAAATTTTGCCCTCTTGCTCATTTATTAACTTTGCAGAAAGCACACAGTGGAGTAAGGCTTGGTTTATGGCCACAATACTGGGAATGGTAAACATTCGCTGGTTAATAGAGTCCACAAGACAAATCAGGTATTTATAGTTCTCCGACTGCTGGGTAATTGATAAGTCACAATAAAGTTAAGGCAACAGATCAAGTTAGGAACTGTTATTCTCCACTACAGTTTCTTACATTAAATTAACACCACGTTGAGAGCATTGATTTCTTAGTCAAATCATTTCCAAAAAGGAATCTATGTATTCTTTGAAAATAAATGTTTTGCATAGATAGCAAAAGCATCCGGACACTGTATCAAGCAAAGCCAAAGAATCTGTCCAGTAGCTTCAGAATACAAAGAGAAAAACCACAGTTTTATTCTTTCTTCCTAGGCAATGACAATTAAACAAATATAAAAACAAGCCATTGCTCAGAATTCAGGAGTCTTACCTTTGTTTACAATAACAGTATTGAAGAGTTTTTCAGAGCTGGCATCTGATGCCTGAAAAACAAGAAGGGGGAAAGAGGATTGTTATTGTCATGACCATCATCATTACTATTATTTGAAATCAATTTACTACATTTTAGAAAAGTCTAACAAGAAAGGGAGCAATTTCCTCTAGTCCTCCATAAGGTGGTGCTAGTTGACTGTGTGAGAGCCCTGCAGTGCAGCTATTTGATGGGGGTGGGGGGGAATCTGATTTTAAAAAACGTGTCCTTATTAGACTTATTATCTGTGCAAAACATATTTCTATGAAATGATACACAAAGCGATTCAGCTTATTCACATAATGATTTTGCAATTTCGTTGACAGATCATTCTTTTAGAAATGGTATTTTTTCATGATATTACACCTATTTTTCAATTTTCTTTAAAACCAGAAAAGCCTATTACTTACTAAGCTTTTCCTCACTAAAAGTCATAGTACTCTTAGAAGTTCCTTTTTAAAGATTAATTTTTCAAGACTCAGATGATGCCCCCAAGATCCTTGTCTGGTATAGTACTCGGGATGACCTTACTGATGAAACAGAAGCAAGCTGACCTGCCCCCAGCCCACACTATACATGCCATCAATGTTATTTCCCTTCAGTTTTTTAGTGATCATGTCTGCTAATTATTCCAGTAGCTTGAGGAAAGTAAAATAAGCCTGTTTAAACAGTAAGAGTAAAGCCAATTGAAATTATACACTAATGTTCTGGAAAATAAACATGAAGCGGTTTGAAGAAAAATGCTGTAATGTCTCAAAAGCACTGAATATTTCTAGAATTTGAAAAATCAAAAAAAGAATTTAAAAATTAAGCAACCCCACATTGCAAAATCTGAAAATGGATTGCCGTTAAAGTTATGTGGGCTATATTTAACCTGTTTTTCTGCTACATAACCATATGTACAAAATAAATATATACAAGTAATAAGAAATCACTTGTCTGTCCCACTTTATACACAGATGCATGTTTTGACAAAGCATGGAATGTTGAATATAGAAAAACAAAATATAGAAAATAGTGGAAATCTGAAGTAAGCATATTCTGACTGGCGCTGGCTTTTGGGGACAAAGAAGATCTTCAACTTAAGTCTTTTTGTGTTATTTGACAAAAATGAAATATTTGTACGTACATCTGAGCAATTTGTTCTAGTTTTCAGTGCAAGTGACACAGAAAGACAAAATATTTTGATTCTAGTTTTTATTTTAATTCTAGTTTTTCTACTATAATGGGTGGTTCAGAAGATGAGCAGATCAAAAAAAAAAAAAACAGGAATGTATGTGCAAAACAAATGATGCACTGCATGTATCTAAACATAAGTAGATTAGTTAAAATATCAGTTTAAAATAAACCCTAAGTAGATTTTTGCTTTTTATTTTGCATGGATAAAAGCCATGCGGAGGGCCTTCCTGACATCTTAAACATACCAAAATAAAATCGCATATTATAGTAATTCTTAATAAAAACAGACACACAAAAAAGCGTAGCATGGAGGAGAAACGAGATATGCATTAAACAGATAAAGAATATTGATATTGAGTTTGAAAAGAAATTATTACAGGAATAATGTTCCCACACTGTACACTGAAGTGAAAATTCTAGGAATGCAAGTTTCCCTTTAAAAACTTAGAAGTAAGAGTATTTCACCATTATTCATTAAAAGTGTCTCCTAGTTCAAATTGGGGTGGTTACATTAAATCCATTATTTTATTAAAAATAAACTCTGGCTGACATGTTCAAAGGTGTGGGAAGGAGGTCTGTTAATTAAATCATTTTATCAAACCAAAACACCCCCTGCAAATTTGGGGGTTATCTACTAAAATGAGTACACTTGGTGCAAAGAAATATAAAAACAACCTTATTGCACCCCAAATGCAAAAACTATGAGGAAGGAAAAGAAATGGCTCCTGATTAAGTTTTAATTTGCACTAGGAGCATCTGTGTGTGTGTGTGTGTGTGTGTG